TCTCTCCTCCAAGTCTATCTCACTTTTACCTGATTTTTTCCTTTTTTTTGGGATTTTTCTTTTTCAAAGATTTTTGGAGGTGTGAAGTACTTGACTGAGTATATACTTGGATTCAGCTGAGTACCTCAGCATGGGCAGGGGCCGAGCCCGATGATAAAAACATTGATAAAAAATCTGAGAGCATACAATCCCACCAAAATATTTTGTAAGAAGTAATAAAATTCAAAAGCAAAGGAGGAAAAGGCATGACCTGTTGCAAGATATTCAGGAGCAGCATAACCATGAGTCCCCACCACTCTGGTTGATACATGACTGTCATCTCCTCTAGGGCCTTCCCTCGCGAACCCGAAATCTGTCAGCTTTGCATTGAAATCCTGCATGTTGTTTGCATGCATTTAAGCATTTTGATGAATTGATGCATGCATCCCTATAATTTCCTTTAAGAGTGAGATGTCGATGGAAACTTTATTGTATTTTGACATACCGAGTCTAGTAGAATATTTGAAGCCTTGAGATCCCTGTAGATAATTTGAATCTCTGCATTATGCAAGTATGAAAGTCCTTGGGCAACACCCATGGCAACTTTGACTCTTACATCCCAGGGAAGAGTGTGACGACCTCCTGCTTTACAGAGAGAGACAGAGAATCGGTTCCAAAACAAAGTTATTAGAGGTGGAGCATTTTGAATTTAAACAGCCCAATGTTGGCCAGTTTTGATTGAAGAAATCTGAAAGCATGGAAAATGGGGAGTTGTTGCTTGCATACTCCTAAATAGGTGATTCTCAAGGCTCCCCTTAGGCATGAATTCGTAGACCAGGAGTTTGTTCTCTGCTTCTGAGCAATACCCAATGAGCTTAACCAAATTCTCATGGTGAAGCTGCCCCAAATAGTTCACCTCTGTCTACCAAGAGAGAGAGAGATTTAACTTCCCCCAAGCAAGAAACTAAACTTCGAATTCTCTTAGTTCGCAGGTTTTTCATAGCCGAGCTGAGCCAGATAGTTTGAGAGAGAGAGAGAAGAAGAAGTAGAGAGAGAGAGAGAGATGGCTCAAGTAATTCCTCAATTTGATCAGCCCCATATACAAAAACTATGTGAAAGAAGTATAAATTACCTGCCATTCCTTGTGACCTTGTAGGCCATTCAACTTTAGCTTTTTGACAGCCACAACAATACCCATGCCTGGTTTTGTAGGAGAGAGAGTACTTTCATGGATCCAACCCTTGAACACAAACCCGAAACCTCCCTCGCCGATAAGACCATCGCAATGGAAATTCCTCGTTGCAGCTTTGAGCTCATCGAAAGTGAAAGTCTTCAAATTTTGACAAGAGTTTGCATCTCCCTTGATTCGTGGTGTCGGCGTGTCTCCACAGCTGTTTATGCTGAAAGCAGATGTTTTATTACTGGAAGGGAATGGAACTTGGGCCCTCGGACACAGGCCAGAGTTTGAAGTTTCTGTGAAAAAATTGCCAAAAAATGAGAGCCCAAATAGGAGAGAGAGAGAGAGAGAGAGAGAGAGAGAGACTCACGGGAAGATAACGTTACTGTATTTGATTTCTTTGGTCTAACATTTGCATTCAAACAATTGCCCATGAAACCAGCCTTCGTGAATTCACACGCAGGCTCCACTCTGTGTGTGTGAGAGAGAGAGCAACTAGCAAAAACAGAGCCCAACACTTGATCTTGGCATCCTGCAAAAATTGCAGTCACATACATGAATGCACTTGAAAACAGCAAAAAAACAGAGACCTAGTGTTTGTGCCCACAAAATAAGTTTCATAGGTGAATCCTTTGACCCAATGCTTTAAACATGGGCTTTCTGCGTCATCAAATTCCTTGTCATGTCACAAACAAACTGAATCCGCCTATTTTCTCTCCAATCGAAAACGAAATTATTCAAACAAATTTGACCATAAATTTGTTCTCAATTCTACCTGGTCTGCATACAGCTAATAGAGAGACTCTCAGTTTCCAATTCCCATGTCTTCCCTCAAACATATTCAATTCTACATAGATAAGAAAAATGCTATAGGACCAAGCAAGGAGGTGTTGGGAGAAACAGAACTCTCTCTCTCCATTTCCATTTCTAGAGAGAGAAAAGTCAATGCTAAATATGGTCTAAAACAACTGTTTTCTCTCTCTTCCCCACTCTTTTCTCTTTTTCTTTTTTCCTTGAGCTTTGTTCAACCTTTCTCTATGGAACGACAGTTGTTCTTGTGACGTGTGGACCATACTAAAGTTTGGTCTTTGAAGAAATGCAAGCTTTTGGAAATCTCTCATTCATTTGTAGATGGTTTGTTGGGGCCATGGATTTACAGGTGGGAATGGAAAAAATAGTGATGGAGGTTCCACTTCCAAATGGTATACGGTTGGTACAGAAATCCAAGACTAAGTCAAACATACACCTATAGTCTAAGTCAAACATACACCTATAGTTTTATTTTGGGGCCGATTGGGACATGGATTTTGAATTTCCAAGGCCCGTGGATTCCACTTTTCTGTCTGTCGACCAAAACTTATAGCACATTTGGTAGGTATGAAAATTTTAGAGAGAAAAAGTACCTGAAAATTTTTAAAGAGAAATTATCTCAAAAATTTTAAAGAGAAAGACTATCTCAAATTTTAAGTTTTAGAGAGTATTAAAATTTTAGAGGGAGAAACTATATCACATTTTAAAGAGAGAAACTACCTAAATTTTTTTAGAGAGATAAAGTGTCTCAAATTTTTTAGAGAGAAATTATTTCAAAATTTATGTTTAAGAGAGAGAAAGTATCTTAAATTTTTTAGAGAGAAACTGTTTCAAAATTTTTAGAGAGATTATCTCAAATTTTATATTTAAGAGAGAAAAGTATCTTAAAATTTGAAAGAGAGATTGTTTTAAAATTTTAGAGAGAAACTATCTCAAATTTTATGTTTAAGAGAGAGAAAGTATTTTAAAATTTTAGAGAGCGGAACTATATCAAATTTTAAATAGAGAATGTACCTAAAATTTTAAGAGAAAAATTACTTAAAAATTTTTAGAGAGAGAAATTATCTTAAATTTTAAGTTTTAGAGAGAAAGTATATTAAAATTTAAGAGAGAGAAACTATATTAAATTTTAAAGAGGAACTATATCAAATTTTAAGTTTTAGAGAGAGAAAACATCTTAAAATTTTATAGAGTAATTATATCAAATTTTAGAGAGAAAAAATATCTAAATTTTTTTAGAGAGATAAACTATCTCAAAATTTTTAGAAAGAAATTATCGCAAATTTTAAGTTTTAAAGAGAGAGTATATTAAAATTTTAAATAGAAAAAAATATCATATTTTAGAGAGAGACTATCTAAAAAAAATTAAGAGAGAGAAACTATGTCAAAATTATTAGAGAGAAATTATCTCAAATTTTAAGTTTTAAATAAAGTATCTTAAACTTTTTGAGAAATAAGTTATATTAAATTTTAGAGAAATAGGTTATATTAAATTTTAGAGAGAGTAAGCACATGAAATTTTTAGAGAGAAAAACTATCTCAATTTTTTTAGAGAGAGAATTTCAAATTTTAAGTTATAGAGAGAAAGTATATTACAATTTTAGAGAGAGAAACCATATGAAATTCTAGAAAGAGATTATCTCAAAGTTTTAGAGAGCAAGAAAGTATATTAAAATTTTTAAAAGGAACTTTATCAAATTTAGTTACCAAACGATGGATATGTAAATGATTGTAAGGAATCAATGAATTTTGTATGGGATTCAATGAGACCATTTATTTTTTGTACTGGGAGGTCACAATTACTTACAACGTTCTGATGTGAAATTTGGTCATTTAGGTGTATCACAAAGTTCGATAAAATTCCTTTGGGACTTTCAGCTTGGTCAATGAAATAAATATAGCTACCCAATTTCACATTCAATGGTCAATATTAATTATGACCACATTATATTAAAGGTAAATAGTCTTATTATATACTTTCTCATTTTGTATTGTATGTCCAAACAAGAGATTTGAAGAATCCATTACAAGAATCCTTGAGATTGCAAATTTATATATTTTATTGGATTTCAAATATACAAAATTCTTAATGTTATGTCCATTCAGGATATTCTTATTGTTAACAAGAATAGGAAGAATTTTATTAAATCCTATTTATCTATCTTTGATACAAGGACGGCACGATTACTATCGGCCGTTAGATGTGATATCAGATGGTTGAGGATGTGAAATGATATCGGATGGTTGATGATATGTCATTGACTAGGTAAAATGTCCAAAATAAAAATTTTCGAACTATGTGACACATTTAGAGCCGTAAAATTTTACAATTGATGGTTAAAAATAATTGTGACCGCCTTGTACAAAAAATACTTGATCTCATCGTATATAATTCCTTTTATTAAGTTAGAGAAACAATTACATCAATTTATGTCCATTTAGGATAATCTTCAATACGTTATTAATTTATCTCTGATAATCTTCAATGCGAATCATTTCCTGAAAATACGTCAATTGTATTTCAAGAATTACTAAGGTTCTCCAGCGCCCTTGTTAAAAAGTTATGGGCATTTGTTTTTACTTTATTTGAGAGCTTGTAAGGCACTCATGCTAGAGTACATTGTACCGACTTGGTTGGGCCAAAGACTTTCTTAAGAAGAGTTTTCCTTATCTGAAATTTTTGGATGCAGTTTAAGAGTGTTACCAGAGGAGGTTTTTTTTTTTTTTAAGAAAAAAAAAACAAAAAAGTTGGATTTTGATTTTTTGGATACTTAGCTCAAAGGGGAATATATCACAAGAAAAATTGTTTCATGCGGTCTGAACTGCATTTCTACATATGCGGTCCCGAAAGTGTAAAGCATCCATTTTAGAGATGGATGCAAGTAGGTGTTCTATCTAAAAATAATGAAAACTAATGGTCCAAATGTTTTCTTTCTAAAGTTAATATTTTTAATTTTTAAAAGTTATTTATTTTATTAAATTCATGATCTCCATGTTAGATATTACATGTCCTTAAAAATTAAGTCTTAAAATCCATCTCAAAACTATATTTGTTAAGAGGCACACATTTCTACATATGCGGGCTTGGCCGCATATAAACTGGGTCCATATCAAAATATGCCAAACTTATCAATTATTTAACATTTGGAAAAATATTCAAATAGACTATTTACTTTTAGTATAAAGATGTCATAAACACTCTTGTCCCTCATATTTCAATCCGGTAGTTGTAGGAGTACCACTAACTAGACTCAGGTTAAAACAAAAAAACAAAAAATTTTCAAACTTCATGACGTACACCAACCATCTAATTTGACATTTAATGACTAAAAATAATTGTGACACACTTCATACCATCTAATTTGACATCTAAGGGCTAAAAATGATTGTGATTTCTTTATAATATAGATAAATGGTCTCATAGTATATAATCCCTTAACAATCTACTCATTTCCAACTATTCCTCTGTACTTTGATTGGAAATTAAATCAAATGAAATGGACACTAGGTTAAAAATATGTCATCTCTTTGATGCATTTCAAAATTTTCTTTAGAATCATCCAAAAATTGGAAATCTTCACCGTTCAATTTTTCAAGAACTTGTTTAGTATATGTTCTTTTGTTTTTTTTCAAGAACTTATTGTGCATGACTCCCCCTCTCTCTCTGACGCTCGTCAATAGATTGATGAGGTTATGTCCTAAATTTGGTCCTAAAAAATACTCTAAGATACTATTTGCTAAAAATTTGCTGCTCCCACTGGAGCATACTGTGAATTTTCTCCCAGTAAACCTCATCTTACCAATTTTGTTTTTGGACCCAACATTTGGGCATGTAAACTTTGGAACTTAATAGCCAACTTCAAATTAAAGTAATTTAAATATAACTGTCTATTTCCATCAAAAAAATTAACCTCCTAAGACTAAGCAAGTATAATTTTTCGAGGGCAAGATCTAGGTGTTTTAAGGCCTAAACTCTTAATTTATTTCTATGAAAATAATCATTTGGTGATATACTTATAGATCCCAAAATTTTGGACTAAAAAAAGATTTTCTCATGTAGGTCTTCTGCCTTAGGGAGTAAGAGTATAGTATAGTCCTATATGAGCATTGTATACAACTCTAATGTTTTAGTGTAGAGGAAAAGTATACAAAGAGAACAGTACTTTAGTACAAATACATCATGTGTCACTCACTAGACTCAAATTTCAAAAAGAAATTTCTCGAACTTTGTGAGACATACTGAGTGATTTTGCTCTTATCACAATGGTAAACGGTCTCATAGTATAAAATCCTATATAGAATATACTCCCCAAAAAGCACAAAATCTATTAGGTTTATTTTTCTTTGCATAGGAATAGTTATAGGAGAAGTATAGAATAAGGCCATTTAACTTTGGTGCAAAGTAGTCACAATTAATCTTGACCATTGGATGTGTAATTGGGTGACTACATTTATTTTATTGGCCAAGCTTAAAGTTTAAAAGAAATTTTATCGAACTTTATTATACACCCAAACAATCACATCAAATGGTTATAAGTATTATGACCTCGTTGTACTAAATGTCTCATTTTATGCAAGCCCATAGTTATTGGACTCACTGGTATTTCCCAATTAATTACCAAGTTAACAATATTTCCAGTGTGACATTCAAAAAACAAATTTTTTTTTTTTGGTAATAAAAAAGAAAAACTGTGTTCCCATGAACATGCAAAGATTGTTTTGGGTAGTACCTTCCATTTTAGGGAAAAGTTTATATAAGGCGGACGCTCTAAACAATCAAATTTGAAGTAGTTTTTTTGGGGTTGTATGAAGTAGTTTGTCTATGTAAAATAATTTTTATGACTATGAAAATAATAATTTTTATGTGAGAATAGTTTACATGAAAAAGTTCTCAATTTTATTTTTTCCCATGGTTTGGTTCACATGTGAAATTCTTATGTACCCAAGACCTTATTTCCTTGTCAAAAGAGTTACTTAGGAGGATTTTTTTTTTTTTTTGATTTTAGATTTTAAATTTTAAAAACCATGGATAAGTGTTTACAACAGGAAAAAATTAATTTGGGGTTCATTAACACTTATGTTTAAGTGTATGAAAATTGGATGGACTCTATTCAATCTTAAGGTATTATTATTTTAGGCAATGTGTATTATTTTA